TACTGGCTCCGCATAGACATTATGCTTGCGCTTACATTGACGATGTAGCGATATACTCAGAGAACTGGAACGAGCACCTGGAACATTTAGACAAGGTGCTTGTGTCCCTAGCGAAGGCAGGGTTGACGCTCAACGTAAGCAATTGTCGGTTTGCACAACAAGAAGTAAAATTCTTGGGGCATATTGTGGGATAAGGCAAGCACGGGGCCGATCCAGAGAAGGTCAGGGCGATAAAGGAGATCCCGGCTCCCGAAACAAAGGGACAGCTTCGTAGTTTCTTAGGGCTAGCCACTTATTATAGGGACTACGTGCCCGAGTACTCCAAAGTCGTTATGCCTCTGACTAACCTAACTGGCCGACGTATTCCGCAGAAATTACCTTGGAATACAGAGGCGCAGGAAGCTTTTGACAAGGTGAAAAACTGTCTAGTGCAGGTGTCGGCGTTGCAGGCACCAGACCCGGGGAAAGAATTTATCCTCGCCACAGATGCATCTGATTACGCCGTTGGTGCGTGCCTGGCACAGCAGGATCTGGTGGGCAAGGAGCGCCGTATCGCTTTTCTGAGCAAGAAGCTTAGCCCGGCTCAGACCCAATGGGCCACAATAAAAAAGGAAGCTTATGCAATCATTTGGGCACTGGGGAAGTTGGATGTTTGGCTGTTTGGCGGCGCTAAAATCAAGGTGATTACCTATCATAACCCACTCAAATTTCTGACTCTAACCACTCCGCAGAGCGCTAGGCTGACACGCTGGGCGTTGGCACTACAGAAGTATAACCTGGAAATTGAACACAAAAGGGGGTGTCTAAACGCTAATGCCGACGCAATGTCGCGGTTAGTGACTCCTAACGATGACGCATAAAAGGGACGGCGAGTTAAGGGGGGTGTATGCTTTGTTAGCGCGTGCGCGCGACGGAGTCAACGAGGTACGAGTGACAGTTGGTGCCTCACGTGTCGAGCCAGTGAACAGGTGCGCATATGCGGTTGTGTTTGTGTCGCATGTCATAGATACAGTGCAACACAGTTGGAGGGGAGGTGTTGGGCTCGAACTTCGTGCGTTCCCCGAATACCTTATGTTACCCACCCAGCGGCCGGCGACCCCTCGCCAACAAGGAAGCAGGGCCACCGGAATGCGGGACGATGACTGTCTGCTGGCCACAAAGGACGCGACAACTCCCGTGCCCCAAGGCGTTCAATTATGGCGCCTCACAGGAGACCAAGCCAGGCTGCAGGTGGCCGGTACACGTGGAAGGTACACGTGGAAGGTACACGTACGCGTCCGCCGGACAATCAGAATCAGCGGAGGCAACGGCATTGGCGCACGGGCCAATTGTATTGATGGCCTGTCGGCCCGGCATCGCGGGAACTTACTCGGAGGCGCTTCTCCACGACCCGGCAACGCCCGTCGTCGACCATTCCGGGAACCGGTGTGAAAGAAACCTGAGCGACGGCGGAGAACCGATGAGTGGGCAAGAGGCGGTGGGTCTTCGAGGTTGTGGCGAGGAGAGACACATCCGTGCGTTCCGATTGGACTGTAAGAGTGGTGCGTTACGATTGGACTGTTAGAGTGGTTGAATGGGGAGACAGGGGATAAAACCAGGGGTGCAGGGACAGTGAAGGGAGAGAAGAGAAACGAATAAACGTCTCTATATCCAGATGATGTCAGAGTAGTCGTTTCCTCAAGGTGCCAGCAGATGAAAAGTTCTCGTCTTCGGCTTCCTTGGCGGCAGCAGCAAATGTCGCGCAACAAGCGAGAGGCGAGTAGAAAGAACCAAACGGAACGTAACTAATACTATGTGCTATTCAGTGACTGTTACGTTGCTGAGAAAGCACGGTGTTCCACTATTTCGTTATATCTCGACCTCAGCAACTGAACATGTCAAACAGCTCGTCATATGCAAGTATGTGCTCCCCCATCACTGTAAATTTAGTTGAGCACAGATTAAGTTACAAAAGTAAAGAGCCAGTTACTAAACTCTTCATTATTAACCACCCATTAAGGACCCTAATGACTCTGTACATAAAGCACGACAGCAGACACTTCTCTACACAATGAAGACCCAAGTTGTACTAAAAGCACTAACGTAATCAGACTTTCTCTTTTGGAAAGTAAATAGAATGTAAGTGCCGGCTTAAAGACACATGTTTGCGTCCCAAAATGTGGGGCACGTAACTACTCCATACGATTCTTATACTGCTCCTAAGCAAAATTATACTTGCTCCAGGACATGTGCCAAATGACTTTGGTTAATCTCATCACTGAAGTAGCGAATTTCATCACACTGGCATCTTTCGTGTAAATGACTTCTTAATTTTACCAGAACAAATGTGCGAACGGTCGCATCATGATGCACTGACGCTACGAGGAGGAGGTGACTTGTTGCCCACATGTCACCACTGTGCTGCAATAAAGCGCACCTTCTTTTGCGCAGGCATGCATTTCAGCTAAACCACAAGACTTTTTTTCTTCCTCCCCCCGCACTGCAGCCAGTGACGCTTGCCCTTTCTCCATGTGTGCCGCAAAAAATTGGGAGCAAGTATTGCTGAATAACATAACCCTTGTAACCACGAACTTGCAAGGACAGCAACGACCACCTCTGATTACAGTAATTTAAAGTTCCTTACACCCACTTTTTGTATGTTTTGTTAATTTAAAAGCCCACCAATACGAAGATTTTTCACAGTCCCAATGACCTTGAATTAAGATTTTACTGTGTGCGACCCAAAGTCAAGCCTACTGATAATGCTACCATTCATTGGATATTACTAGGAACAATGATGGCACTGTCTAATTTTGTATGTTTTTTATGGTAAAATAAACCACCTATTATGAGGCTTCAGTGCCACAATATCGGATATAGTGATTGAATCCAGCCTCTGACGTGCCAAAAATGCCTCGGTGCCCTAATGGCATGTGCTGTTTTGAACCCCGTACTCCACCCACACTCTCAGAAAATGAGTCGACTGCGCTTCTTGCAAGAAAGCGAAAAGAGGAGGAGCTTTCCTTCCAAACTTCCAAAGTGATGCCAGGAGAGGTCAGCGAAGCGCCCATCGATTAATAGCTGCCAAAGTTGTGGTCGGTGCTTAATGAAGATGTGTCATGCATAAACCACTTACTTCATGCAGACAATGTTGTGGAAACATCCGAGTGCCTCAATGATGAGGCAATCATTGCATGCATGCATGTTGTAGACAGCAGTCTGCATAAGTCGGTCAGCTTTGATTGCACGAAGCAATCAAAGCTGACAGACTATGGCTTTTCTACAAACAAGTACATAGTTACACTACCTTACTTGCATTTAAATAAAAATTCCTGACCTTTTTTTTTTGTCTTTCTTGTCTCAAATTGCTTATAACAATTATCGGTTATAACAATGTTATTTTGTTGGCTCTTGGATATCGTTTTGACTGCACTGTGTGTGTATAAATATATGTATGTGTGTGTTGTGTGTGTGTGCATGCATGTAAGGAAGGCATGACAAAACTTTCATGAAAGCGTCTTTACTGAACTGTTTCAGCTGGTGTACCAGCCTTTGTCAGAGTAATCTCTGACGAATCTTGGTCAGCGAAGACTGGGGAAGGCTGACATCAGAGATTACTGTGACGAAGGCTCATACACCAGCAAAAAATGTTCAGTAAAGACGCTTTCATTAGAGTTTCATCGTCCTTTCCTTGCATATAAGATATTGTGTTCTACATAAATGATGTTCAACCAATCCGGTATACACTAGACTCTCAGTAAATGGAAATACATTAAACGGAGCTGCTGTTTAAATGGAACAACTTCCTCTAATATGATTGGTTTCATACTTAAATGCTGCAACCCTCTTCACCGCTCCGTAAACAGAACTCCTGTTAAATGTAACACATTTTCCCGGTTCCTTCAGGTTCCATTTAATAACAGTATATATATATATATATATATATATATATATATATATATATATATATATATATATATATATAGTGGGAGTAATAATTCAATGGGCCAGTTAGTCTTCGTGAAGGTATGGGATATGGCACAACGGGAGCGTTGTCAACAAGGATAAATATATTTATTTCCCAACAGTTTCGGGAGGGGTCCTCCCCTCATCAGGGGATGAGTTATATGAAGGGAGTGTCTTCTGTGAATCCAGTGATAAATAGAAATTGGCTTGAGTGGACAAACGTACGAAAACTTTTATTACTCCTACGTTTCGGCTGGCCCTGACGAAGGCCGAACCCTGGCCGAAACGTAGGCGCAATAAAAAGTTTTTGTACGTTTGTCCGGTCAAGCCAATTTCTTTATATATATATATATATATATATATATATATATATATATATATATATATATATATACAAAACACTATTTTGATGGGTTTTTGCAAAACTCAATTTCATAATACACCATTCTAACTCTCAAACCGTTGTCTGTTAGCTCAGTAGTGAGTTCATGAAGTATTCTTCACAGCAGTTCGAATGGTAAATACATGGTAGTGGTTTTCAGTGTAGAATATAAGTATGTATTCAAGAACATGCAATAAGTAGATAGACGGAAGATACAAGTTCACACAAGGCTTAACGTGTGAGTCAACATCACAAGATGCTGTTTCACTCCACAGCTAGGCTGGCTTATCAGCAAATGGAGTGCTATCTTCCAGTGATTTTTATTTGTATTTCTACATAGGCAGGCATATGTATGCATGTATTGTTTAGATTATGTAGACAAGAGGCACTAAGTCAACCAGGCAAAAAAAAAAAAAAAATGTGTGTGGGAGCGGGTGTTCAAGAGTAAGTGTCACAAACCACACCCTGTGCTAATCATTTAAAACCATCAGCTAACAAGGCTCAGGAAAGCATGATGGGAGTTATTTGTAGCTTATAATTGAAGTGTGGTAATTATGCGACAAAAAGAAATGAAGGTGGGTGAAAAAAGTGACTTGCCGCCAGTGGAGACCGAACCAGCGACTTTCGCATTGCATGCCTACAGCACATCTCTTCCTGTGTCTCCTCCCAATAGCTGCGTGCCCTGGTTGCTGTCTGCATGGATCCAAACACCAAGAAGCGGCGTGATATAATCTATGCTTGCACTGTGGCCACACAAATGTTCGAGCGTTTTGTGCGGTCGTCTGCATGCGAGGCAAACACACTAGCCTTTACGTGATATGATGATCTCATTGACTGGCAGCAGCACAAGTCTTTTGTACTGTATGCGAATGGTTTCATGTTTCTGTGTGCACACTTGACTTGTGAATGTAATTTTGCTCTATTAATTGCTATCACAAAGGGCACAGTGAATAGGAAATGGTGTGCTGGTGAGTGTCTCAGCAATATTCTTGTGATAAAATGTACTATGACTAGTGGGCAGATGTTTAGCCGCCGACAAGCAGCTGCAGTGCAGTGCAGTTTTGTAAGAGCAATCCGCTATTTCTGAAAATCTGCCAAAAAATGCCGAATAGCAGTATTTTAGTGCACAATTTTTCAAATGCCCACAGTTAAAGTGTGATGCAGGGTATATTTTCTAGTGCAATGTTTATTAATAGAAAGTAGAGCTGTCTTATTAGTTTACAGGGCCTTTGTTGTCCATAATCCAGGAATGTTGCATTTTATTGAAGACAACCTTCACTTGGTCTGCCTGCTAAATATGCAGCCTATTGGCACCCCTTGAGCAAATTGATGGAATTCATGTGAAATTTTTATTCAGCCACACAAAAAAAGTTTGCGGGGCAAAAGTAACGAAATAATAGTGTCTCCGTGAAGCCAAACCATGACTCGCTATAATTTTAGGCATTTGTGATTCAAGCCCCGACAAAAGTTTGTTTTTGCCGCCTTATTCATTTCGTTTATTGAACATAAATGGTTCTGTACTTTTTTTTTGTGTGTGACTAAATCTAAAATTATAAATCATTTGCACGCTTGCTATTGCATCAATCAATAACGATGCTTTGTGCCATGCCCTCTCACTTTCTTGGATATTGAAATATGCATTTTATTTGTGTCTAATTCTATTGTAGATTATTGAAGTTTGTGATAAAACACCCATTCAAGTGCTGCCTTACATAAGTGTTGCATACACCAGTGTGTGTGTGTCCAGTGCCATTTTTAAAAACAAGCTATGCGGCACTGAGTAGTTGCCAATTGTTCAAACATGTAAAACTACTAGAACCTTGACTCAACCACTCATTAGAACAGGAATACTTTTAATTCAGCGTCACTAAAGCTATGCAAATTTTTCTTTTTCTCTTTTTTGTTGTCATTTGTGTGAGGAGTGCATCTCATTCACTGTGCCTCTGCTCGTTTTGGTGCTACCACTTCTAGTCACTCAAAGAGCGAATGGCTGCTACGCTGTTGACTCACAGAGCGCATTTAATTAAATTGGGGGGTGTTGCACGATGTACTGAAACACTCATTGGATATCTTTACTATCGCTCACCAGCTTTTCTCATTTTATATCTGTGCTAGAATAACGTGCTACATCTGGCCATTTCAGTGCTTGCTTGCAGCACCTCTTGAACTTATGAAAGCATTTATTTGCATTTGTAGCTGGGGCCATGCCCTGCAAGTGTGTTATAGTGGCGTGGTCACATTTACACTTGTGGTGAGCTAAATGTATTTGCCACATGCCAGACATATACCAGATGATAATTGTTTGCTCAAGTCAGCTGTTATAATAATACAGCACGAGTTTATACTGCATCTTACACAAGTCAGATATACGAGACCTTTAAATGGCACATTTATTTTTTGAAGTATATACACATTTCATTTTATATGCACATCTTCGTTGTATTTTTAAAGAGGCTGTACCTGTTTAAGAAAGTCACAGGATCATGTACAAGTGTTTAACAGCTTTTTGTCAACAGCAATGTTATAGAGCATATTATTTGAAATTTGATTATTAAAGTGCTTTTTGGCAGTATTTTGTCATAATATTCAGTGAATGTGAAGTGGGCTAGTGTCCATCATTCGTGTCTAGCTCAAGTCTAGTGGCCAAGATACTCGACTGCTGACTCGTATATCGCGGTATCGAATCCCGGCCGAAGCGACTGCATTTTTGATGGAGGTGAGAATACTGTAGGCCTGTGGGCGCAGATTTGGGTACACGTTATAGAACCCCAGGTGCTCGAAATTTCCGGAGCCCTCCAGTATGGTGCCTCTCATAATCATATGGTGGCTTTGGGACGTTCAATCCCACATATCAATTAATCATGTCTAGCCCATGCTGTCATAACCCTTGAGGGATTACAACTGGATTTCAGCTTCATGAAAGCCCTTGTGAGTGACCGAGAATTATTTATTGTCTCGAGGTTAAACCATAAAACTGGTTACTGTAAGTATGAAAACCGAGGAAAATATACCTTGTAGGCACAGTGAAGCTTTATAGTCTCGGCATTATTACACGCAATACACAAGTTATATGTGCTTCAAGTTACTTTTGTACTAGGAACATTGGCAGAAACGCGTGGTCTAAAACAGCTGGTAAGGCGTTAAACAAAACTTGGTCTCTGAGGTTCTAACAATTGTACTTATCGGAAGTTAAAATACCCTGTAAAAAGAACACCATACCATGAGGCCATAAGTAGAGGGAGGGAATCTAAAGTTCTGAATCCCCTCCACCCCAAAAATTTTTCATTTTTTAACTTTTCAGGGGTTCTAAAATATTTACACACATTTACAGCTACCACCAATGGCCAACCCAGTGGGCAGTCCTGGCTATAAGGTTCTTGGAATAAGGGACCCTCCCTCCTTCACTAACAAGCCTTTGTAAAATAAATGCTTTCTCTCTCTCTCTCGTGGGTAGCCCAAGGGTGGAACAGCTGCGCCATTTGTGCTGTTGGGTGCCAAACTTGTTTATTTGCGCCGAACAACTCCTGTTGTGCCAAAATCGTTCACCAGCGTCATACTGGGCCACAGCACCCAAATTTAGCCGCAAGGTGCGACGGCCGTGAATCCCCGTGCCTGAAAATGTATCTGAAACATCTCATTTTAACGAAACAATTATAGTTTAGGTTTCGTCAATGCTGTTATCACTCAAGCAGAAGTTTGTTCTAAGGGTGCATGCACTGGCGTGCTCTGTCTTGACGGACATTAGCGCGAATAGCTCCTGAACCCTTCTACGATCTGCGCTATCAATGCAAAGAGACTACACAAAAAGAGCATCTCTCCCAAGCATTTTATTAGAGTTACGTGATATTGGATGCATAGGAGTTTGCTGCCAGCCTGACTTCATATGACCATACAATTTGTTGTTATTGCATTCACTGATTTGTCTTTGCGGTGAAACTGATCTTTTTACAACCTTTATAACTTGATAACAGCATTCAGAAAATGAAAAAAGGGTGATGGTAACGGTGCTCAGAATAAGTGGGAGTGGTTCCCGAAACAGCCTAGCAAAGACAGGTGCACAGGACTGCTCATGAGCGCACGCGCGTTCCTTATTGTTGTGATTTGTGGGGTTTAAGGTCCCAAAACCACCATACGATTGTGAGAGATGCCATAGTAGAGGGCTTCGGAAATTTCGGCCATCTGGGGTTTTTTAACATGCACACGAATCTGAGCACACGAGTCTACAACATTTCCGCCTCCATCGGAAAAGCAGCTGCCGTAACAAGCATTCGATCCCGCGACCTGCGGGTCAGTAGCGGAGTACCTTGGCCACTAGACCACCGCGGCGGGGCGTTCATTTTTGTTCAAGTCGCCGCTTTGCTCTCCACTTGGTGATTGACGTTCGTGCGTTCAAGTTTTAAAAAAAGGCAGCTGTATGCAGCTAAAAAAGTCAGTTTCTCCGCAAGGGCGAAACAATGAATGATTCAAATGAAACAAATTGAAATGTTATACGAAGTGATGCTAGCAGCTAATTTATTTATACTCGATGTAACGTACATCTACAAAATGCTGGCATAAGAGAATACGGCCTCTCCAGGGAGAGCATCACTTTTTCGCACGCTAGCAGTCGCGACCATGCCCTTAGAAGTGAAATTCGCAGTTGCTATTCAAGCTACTCCTCCCCCCTCGTGCCTTTTCACCCTAGTTCAAAATGGCCAGGGTGTTTTTTTTGCCTCGACGGCAGGCCTCCAAGTGGTGGAATGTTATCGCATGAGTATTCCTAGTGACAAAGATAGGCTGGCTCTTTTGATATCTACTTCAGCTGTGTTCCTGGCCCCTGCTCAAGCACTTTTTTTACCTGCGGGTAAAACATACCGTGTGCGGGGGTGTGTTATCCATTTCGGCTTTATATGGGACGCGATGGCAACAGCAAAAACCCGTCATCCGGAAGGGGCGCTAGCGCGCGGCAGCCGCAATACTTGTGGTCTCATGCGCGAACATCATCATTGGGCCACAACCAAAGTTCTTGGCAGCATGTGTTATGTCGATACTTTTTTAAGGAAACTTCTTAGTGAGGTCCAGCGCTGCCAAAGATCAGACTGTCATATGCCAGATCGTTGACAAACTACGGTTATGGCGGGGCACCCACGGTGCCGCCTGGCCGGTAGAGATCAGTGCATACCGCCTATAATTGTCTTACATTTATAATAATCATGACTACCTTACAGTAGCCTTATAATTGTTGTAGCAATAACGAGGCTAATTAATAATTAAGCCTATTGTGTATTAAAAAATGCAGCGCATTGGGTAAATGAAGTGCTTTGTAACCGGGCTACTTCTTCTCCAAGTGTTCTCTGTTAGAAACGTGCTCGAGAAGGCCGTTCTGGCTGCTACAGGCCTGCTACAAAAGACGCTCTTGCTTGCTCCCAGGACTGCTCCAAGACTTATGTACCCTGTTTCACACCTTAGCCCTGCGGCGAATGTTTACCGTTGGCGAAGTTGTAGTATAGCGTGTCTCTTTACAAACACGCAATGTAAATTAGACTTTTTTGGCAATATGAGGTCTCAAAAATATTTCTAGTCTAGTGTAGTCAGAGTTGGATGAGAGATGCAACGTGTACAAATAGCGACCGTTCTAATGGCCATTTCACAGATATTGTGAATGGGGCCGGTACGTGTCACTTGACTGCGTGTATTTGTCCACACACATAAACACGCACACACACACGCACACCCACACACACATATATATATATACATATTGTTAAGGCGTTACATATATATATGTTAAAGCCCGGCTTGCAGCTTACGAACGGCAGGGCGGCCGAAAACGTTGATTACAGCGGTCTTAAAATCAGACCAGGTTACTAAATCAGATGCGTGGTTGTTGTACCACAAACTGGCTACGCCCGCAAGGTAGAACACCAAGTTCGTCAAGTTTCCGTCCTCATCCCATTTGTTGGGGACACTAGCGCGCTACTAAATGGCGAGCCAGTCTTCCACTTCAGTGCCATCAGCGCCAGGGAAGATGGGTGGATCGCGGATTCTGGGTACACCGGAACAAGGGGGTGTCATGGGAGGAGGCGTTTGCTGAGAGGTGTTGTGGGACATGGTAGATGGCAGGGTACGTGATCGTAGCTCCAAAAGCATTGAACGGGATCGCAGCACTCTCCACCAATTTGTTAAGGCGTTTATTAGCCGGCAACCAGCGAGCATACACAATTCCGATAGTCACGGCCAAGCACGGACTCTCAGTGCGAGCGGTGTCCTTGTTGGGTAGCCCCACTAAAAGGTACTCAAGAGTTTGACCCATTTCAGAGTTCGGAGGCTTCGCTACAATTACCCCGGGTTCGAAGAGGGAGCCACCTGGCGACCTAACAGCTTGTTACTATGAGCGGGTCATAATAAGCCTTGAGGCGCTCCACGTTGACGATGTCGTGCCCGGGGTGGCGCATGTCCGAAGATTGTTCGTCGGGATCGATCAGATAGTTGACCACAGATGTGCGCTCGATGACCCGGTAAGGGCCTTCGTATATGGTAAATAGTTTGGAAGAGAGGCCAGCTACTGAGGTCGGGATCGAGAGCCATACAAGCGCACCAGGAAGGAACGTGGGCTCAGAAGTGGTGGAGCCATTACAAATACTCTTCTGCCGCTCTTGCTCATGTGTCGTAAATGTCTTGGCAAGCTTGCGACACTCTTCAGCAAGCCTAGCTGTCTCAGAAATAGGTGCACGCTCAGATGGATCTGGCGTGTACGGGAGTAACATGTCCATGGTGTGCAACGGGTGCCTTCTGTCAGAAAGAAGAAAGGTGAAAAACCGGTCGTGCTCTGAGGGGCAGTGTTGTAGGCGTAGGTGACGAAGGGCAGTATATTATCCCAATTCGTGTGTTTGGCGGCGAGGTACATCGAAAGCATGTTGCCGAGGGTGCGGTTAAAGCGTTCGGTGAGGCCATTCGTCTGCGGTTGGAAAGCAGTAGTTTTACTGTGGACAGAATGGCACTCCGTCAGAATGGCACTCTTTCTCCATGGTGGTGTAGTTTGTCTCGGCTTTCGTGAGAGTACGGCATTCATATGCTACGACATATTCAGGAAATTCGGGTTTGCACTGTGCCAGGACAGTGCAGAGGCCTACACCACTGGCCTCCATGTACACCTCCATTGAGGCATTAGTGTTCTAGTGGCGTTGAATGAGAGGAGACGTCAACAAACAGCGGAGCTTTGCAAACCCGTCATCACACTCGGATGACCATGAATTGAGGGGCCTGTTACCTACAAGAAGCTTCGTCAGCGGTGATATGATCGTGGCAAAGTTTCGTATGAAACGTCGGAAGTATGAGCACAGGCCTACGAAACTACGCAGTTCTTTGACGGACGCAGGTTTGGGGAATTCGGCCACAGCGCAAAGCTTGGCCGGATCAGAAAGAATGTCGTCCTCGGACACGACATACCCTAGAATGGTGAGTTGCCATGCTGCAAACCGGCACTTTTTCAGATTTAGTTGCAAGCCGGCATTGCTCACACGTGCGAGAACTTCTTTCAGACGTTGGAGATGCGTGGAGAAATCCAGAGTGAAGACAACGACATCGTCGAGG